CCTGAGGAGTCTCCATTAATTTTCTATAGGACTACATCAGAAACAACCATGCATTTCTCTCTCTCATTCTCTTAGCGGCTCACAGAGAATTCTCCCTAGAGTGCCGGTAGCTCCCTCATGTGGACAAACACGATAAACATGAGTGAGTGAGTTAGTTAGTTACAGGCTAGGTCCATGACATGCTTTGCATCAAAAAATATTTATTTTGTATATTTATCATGTTTCAGTTCAGCTAAAAGGTACAAGGTGAAATTTTGATATTTACGATATTTACGATATTTTCAATTTACGATATCACTAGGCTAGATATGTTAGCAGAAATCAAATAAAGACGATTAACGTAAGTTTTGAGTTTTTGGATGCTGTCAATAGTCTGGTGAGCAGAAGTGTTTCGTTCTGCTGACTGTTAGCTCTCTTTCCATGCTTACTGATGCGAAATATTTCTACATCAGCCGAGAGGGAGCTCAGTTGCATCTTATTGCTTTATACTGATTTTATTGAATTTAACTACATCTGCAGGGCCCACGTCCACTTGTAGCGTCAGGCCCTATACGCAAGTTAAAGAACCTCTGGATATGGTAAAAATATATTATCACAATTCCTCAAGACATTTTCAGAAGACGTAATATTGGTCACATTGTCTGCTTTTTCTGAGGTTTGCAAACAAGTTGGAATGGACAAAATGCATCACCACTCGTTGTTGTTAACAGGTTCTCTATGTTTGGTCCCATTTTCATGAAACATTCAGTTGTTCAGCGGACTGGAAGTACTGGAGATTCTCATGACACTCAGAAAAGCATTCTGTGACATGATAAATGATAATATATTATTATTTCCCACCTGCAATGAGCAGCAAGCCTACAAAAAAGGCTTTGTTGATTTAGCACTGAGGTTTGTCTTTATTCTGCTTTAAACTGACACTGTAGAGTGAAAGCGTTTTTTGAATGCAGAGCCTGAGAAAGCTAGAAGTCTCAGTGAACAACACTTAGACTTGCTGACAGATAAGCAAACAATCAGACTCCTTCAGCATGTGTTCACATGTTAGCACTAGCCTTTTCTATAGAACTTGGTGGGAAGAGAGGTGACTTATAATGAAAGGCTGCCGGCTAGGATGAATCACTGACACTACAAGCCTGAGTGCTCACATTAACCAGCCGGATCCCTCCTTCCCTCCACATTCCCACGACGTTGCTCCACACGCCCCGAACACAACTATAGGCATGCACCCCACCAGTATGTGGCTTAACGGATTCTTTTTTCTGCATTCACGGATGAGGCATGAGGAACCCTGCACTAAATAAACGAATATGTTATGTTTGTAGACTAGTTATTATATGACCAAATACAAAAATGATTTAAGGTGATGTTTTGTTCTGACCTCAGTCCTCTTTAAATGGGTTTCATAGTTAAGTCTTAAACACATACAGCAGCCTACCTGCTGAAACCTCTTTACTAAATACTATTCATGACATGTCTTTCGTTAGCAAAAGTGCTAAACAAAAACAAAAATTCCACAGAACAGGGCACTAAAATCCCAGAAAAATGTAAGCCTGCTCAACAGCTTCCAGACAGCTTAGCCAGTGGCTGGGTTTTTGCTAAGGCTGTGTGAGAAACCTGTGTTTCATTCTGTTTGCTGTAAAAAAGGAGACATTTATAATGTTAAGCAGACCCTGGGCCTGGTTCTTTAAAGTGGTTTGTCCAAAAAAAATAATAAAGAAATAAAAAGCTTCTGCTCCACTTGTTCCACGGAACCAAAATCGTCTTTCTCCTTTGAAATCCCATGAGATTGGTCAAGATCAAACTGCTTGAACTTCTGGTGTGATCCATTTGAGCTGCTATGAACAACCGCTAGCACATGAACTCATCTGCCTGAGAAGCCAGAATGGTTATTTTGAGCTAGCGAGCCTCCTTCAGACATCACAAGGCCTATGTGCTCCAGGGAACGCCACAGACGTTCTCTAAGGCTCGATTAGATCAGAAACATATGCACTGAGCCACAGTGTGGGGTCCAAAATAATTACATGATTAGCATCAACCCACTGCTTTTTAAGGCTGTCAAGAAAGACAGTGGGGCTGCATAAACTACTCTATTTGCAAAGAGTGTCTAAATTAAAGTAAAGTATCTTTTCAATGATTCTACTGATGTAGGAGAAATTGAATCTGCTGTTGACAAAAGACACAGCATGGGACACAGTGGGTTCAAAAATCCACACTGAAATCTGTAGTTTTTTTTTTTCATTTACACCTGTAAATAAACAACAAAGTTTTAGATTTTTGAAAATTTTACAACAAAAAGCTATGACAAAATGAAGAAGAAAGAAAGATTTTGCAATTTCTAGGTCAGATTCAGATTGAAGTAAATGTGAGATACCGATTATATTAAGGCCTTTGTACAAAACATTGAAGCAGATGTTTAGATGACTTTCAGGTGGTTTTGATCTATTGATCAGAAGCTTCTGCACAAACTTTCAGAGTACATGCCAGCTAAAGTGCACTCTGTAATTAAAGCTAAAGGGGGACATACCAAATGCTAAGAAATTCTGAAATGTATGTGAACATTCAAAGATTCTACTTTTCACTTAAATTGTAATGCTGATCATGTAATTTGTAATGAAAAACTTTGTGTTAAATCAGAAAAGAATGCAAAAAAGAAGCATTTTCGGCAGTGGTCTCAGCCTCGTCAAATACAAGATTTCACCAGTTAAATTTACATTGCTGGGTACCTTCATTAAGATTGCACTGGGAAAGAAAAGGCCTTTTGAGCAATGAAAATAACAAGCATCAGACTATGGCCTTATACCTATGGGCACAGATTGTTTACATATTCTGGATATGAGGAAATATATGTACATTTTTCTTCTGTATGGAATGATATGATTACCGACCATAACTATTCCTTTAAAAAAAAAAAAAAAGATTTACCTTCTGTTTTGGGTGCAGAGTGTTTGTTAAACATCTAACATGCTTGTCACATTTATTACATAATCGCCTGACTGCTATTATTTAAGCTGATCGCAATTATTAAACCTGACTGCAATATATTCCAAGCTTGTGAGTTTGTTTCTACTGAAACTAACAAAATATGAATTGGGTGTGTTTTCATCTGTTGAGTTGAAGCAAATACATGTAAATAAAATAAAGCAGAAAATGCATTCATTAAGACGTCATGGGTCTTATGAATACAATAAATGTTCTAACTTCTAACTTGGTGCTATAAAACCTTGAGATGGCAGTAATGCTTGTTTATTTGAGCTCGAATGGTGTCTGTTGTCAGTTGGGAGCTACTAAGACTTGATGGCTAGACAGCCAATTTGGTTGCTTTAGAATTCTACGTCAATAGCTGCATACAAATAACAAAAAAGACAATTCAATTGTTAATCGCAATTATTTATATGGCAATTAACCCTACTAACTAACTAACAAACAAATGTTCATCTTAGTATAAAACAAAACTAAACATTAATGACTGATTCTAATAATCTATTTGCCAGTAATTTTTTTTGTTTCGTCGATTCTCTTTTTTGTGACCTATAGTCTGAACATTTTTATGTACTGAATACATACTGGATTTTACCTGCAGTGTGGACTAAGGGATGTTATTAAACCAGTATATTAAACCCACAAACTCTCAACCTTTGTCACCACCCCTTTCAATGTCATGGTAAACTAAAAGTTTCCATTACTCTGCACAATTTCTCCAAGCTCTGAAGTGCTGAAACTGGTGAAGGACTCCTTTAATGTGTTCTCTAAGCCACCTGCAATTCCCCATAAGAGACACCAATTGCTTGGGTTATTTTAGGTCCCTGAGCAAATAAGTGTGCCTTGTCGTCCTCGCAGCCATGCAGTAACACTAGTAATAAATACACCATCTGTGAAACGTATAATCATCGGATCTTTTAGAAAAGAAGGTTTGTATCTGGGGTGCTCCTCTGGAGTGCTTTGTAATTTCAGTCAGATGTCCTGACCAAGTTTTCTGCCCCCAATCCTGATTAGGGATGGGTATCATTACATTTTTTTTCCCCAATACTGATGCCAATACAGACAATTTAATTTCAATAACAATTTCTGAACCATACTTTTCTGGTAATTTCTTTTCAATTCCAAAATTAAAAGTGTGGCTTAAACCAGAAATGAGTGTAAGGTGCTGAAAGTGAGGACATATACAGACCACAACAAAATGCTAATAAATGTTAATAGCATTCTTACAGCCAATCAGCAGTCTAGATTTTGGATCATGCGTCTTGGTTCACGGATGCTAAGACTACTTCAGTATTGCAATTTGATATTTTCTGCTATTCAACTGTACTAGTATAATCCAGTTGGTCTCATAAAAGTATTGAATTTTCATACCCAGCTCAAGCCCCAATTCAATACAGAGTATCTGCTAATACCAAGTCTGATTATGTTATTGTATTTTTTAAAGATCTGTAGTGTGCACACTAACAACATTGAAGTTAATGTAATTGAAAATCGATTCAATTAAGGTAAGATGTACTAGGCTGCCAATTACCATAAAATGGTAAAATAACTTTTTTATTATCCAGGTTATGATCTTTCATGTGATTCTCTATGGATGTGAAAGCTGGACAATAAACAAACACTACAGGAAAAAATGTAAATGTTTTTGAACTTCTGTGTTGAAGACTTTTGAGAATACCTTTGACGCCAAAGAAAGCAAACAAATGGATCCTCAAACAAATCAAGCCTCACCTCTCACTCCAAATCCAGATTACCAAACTGAAGCTCTCTTGTTTTGGACATATTCTAAGAAAAAACGATTCACTGGAAAACACCATTATGATTGGACGGACAACCAGCAACAAGATGGACAGATATAATCAGAGGAATCATGAACAAGCCATTCAGTAGCCTGAAGACCCAGAGAGAAGACAGGCTTGACAGCACTTAACAATAACAATAATGTAGCCAATACTGTGCCATTAAAGTATGCATTTATTGGCTTGGTCATCTGACTGGTCAGTAAACTTAAAATGTACTACCTGGCTAGAAGGTTCACTGCTTATGGACTCAGTCTTGTAGTTCTCCGACAGACGTGAGTAGGAGCGGCTGGGCAAAGTAGCTGTGCTCCCAACCTTCATGTGATTGGGTATCGTCATTGAGGGACCCAAGACTGGCCTCTCCTCAGTCGGCGTATCCAACGGGGTGCTGGTCTCTGGGGTCGTGACCTCTGTCTCCATGGAACTATAGCCATTCTCATGCTCAAAATCCCGACTGTCCTTGCTATCCTTGCTGTCTCTAGTGAAGGAGGAACGGGAAATGACGCCAAATTTGCGGGTTCGCTTGCCATTCTGAGTGGGGCTGCTTGCAGGCTCTGAGGAGACGCTGCCGCAGTGTTCGATTGGTGTCTCTGCGCAGTTGCTGCCGCTGCCATTGCACGGAGGGAGAGGGGCCTTGCGCTTGATCCTACGCAACATGATCAGGTAGATGCAGCCGCCATTCCAGCACTGGTCCGCCAGATAACTGTACAAGAAAGGAGGATTTACAATCAGTCACTTTCCCAAACTCCAGAATCACACTACAATTACAAGTGGGAAGTATACCTGGTCAAAATTAAATCTGAAATTTAAACATTCATCAGATTCAGCAAAAAAAAAAATGCAGATTCAAATGTAGAAAACCATTCAATGATTACCTGACAAAAACAGTGCTGAATGATGTTTCAGGTCTGAATTTCTACAAGGCTGAAGCGTGCTTCTTATTCTCCAGCTTTTTGTTTGAAATTTCCATTCCACCTTAAATGGACCAGCAGTTACATTCACACACCTGAAAAAATTCTGTTCAGGCGCTTGTATGAATATAACTGCTGCACCTTTTAAGTTGGAACAGGCAATGCAAATAAAAAGTCAACTTCAGCTTTGACCAATTTCTTAAGCCATTTGTCTCACAGATGCATCCCACAGACGAGTGTCTCTGACTGATAGACACTGCTGGAACTTGGAAAATATTACATTCACATTTCAGTACCAGTGGGTCCATGGCTTGTTGCTCAGCCAGGTCTCATTGGTCTGGTGTCCATGTTAGGCTAAGGCCAACCTCAAAAGGCAGATACTTCCTTTGTCTGCTGCCTCGATAACAAAATAGACTACTTCAGATGCAATGGACTAGACAACAAAAGATGATCGAGGCACTGCAAATGTGATTGTAACTGACATTTCAAACATCCTTGGCTCAAACACCCAGGTAATGAGGCTAATGTTAGCATGGTTTGTACTGTTTGTATAAAGTGTTTTCTGCACTAATTTAAGACATATGAGTATAATGGTTCTGACAAACAGTTTTGCATTTACAATAATAGTAAAATATGCTGCTATTTTAGCTACTTGGCTAAGTGCTGCTACACAGTTACAGAAGCCACTCGTACCAGTTAACGATTTTATTTTTTGCTATATTCAGTGTGCAGAAGCGTGCAAACGAACGCATTATTTTGAATTTTTTTTCTTGAGCACATTTTAAAATCCCTGCACAAATGTTACATCTTATCACACTGTACTGTGATTCTTATATCATGATATACTGTATCATAAAGTTGTTGCCAATACCCAGCCTTGCCCCTAGCTACAATGCACAAGTATAAGAACATGGAAATAACTTTCCATCAAAAAATTACACCTTCAGCTACCTTCTTGGTAGGAACTTGCTGCACATTCAAATACATGGAAATGCATTATCAAGATAGCGATCTAAACAATTACAAAAAAAACTGTTACAGCAGATTAAAGTCTTACACAAATCATTAGTAAACCATAAGTCTGCAAAAACAGGAAGGGCAGCAGCAATAAGGAAGCCACAAAACTAAGCTGTACACAATATTCGGAGAAGTACACTTAAAGGGTCACAGGGGATGAAATGCATAAACACAGCAGGTTCACTAACCTTTAAGCCTAACTCCTCGTCATTGGAATCACACCTACTGTTAAGTGCAGCTTGGCATTTTTAATTGAGTTTTGGCCTTCTTTTTGAGCAAGCCTCCTAGTAATACATATGGACTTTCATAAGACACATTCTAAACAGCCTTATAAAGGCCCACATGACTGACTACCCCTGTGGCCATCAACAACAGGATTATTGTTGCTACATATTAACCTAGACCATTCTAACATGCCAAAGAACAATAGTCAATCATTTGTGCTGCTTTGTTTTGCAAGGTTTGAGCCAATAATGTTACATAAAAAGTTGGGCTGTCTTGATTACTTTAAAAAAATCAGATATTAAATTTAAAAAACATCAGTTGAACATAGACTACATTCTCAATGAATCAGCAATAATTAGTTGTTAATTTGCATGAGAATATATATTTAACTACAGTGAGAAAAGCGCCCAGGAAGCACCCACTTTTAGGCATTTTTTGCCACACGGTGTTTTTGATATATTGTTTGTAGTGTTTGTAAATGTAGTGTCTGAATGTGTCTGGGATGACCTATATCAACATAAGCATAAAATGCAACCAACTTCTAAGACTGAACTTTGGAGGTGTGGAAAATTATCCCTGCAGATTTCTTTGAAATACTGAAAGCAAATCTCCTGAAATGAATTGAAGTTGTAATAAAGGCAAAGGATGGCCACACTAAATACTGAAAAATTAAGCCCATTTTCAATTACTCAATGATCAATTAATCATTGGGGACAGCCTTAATAAAAAAGATCATGCCATGACACTGCATGTTCCACAAAGAGGCAAAAACTGCAACATTTATGAGCTTTTCCTAAAGTTTACATCATTAGACTGTGAAACTTGAAAAAAAACAAAAACAACAAAATTGCACCAAAGAGCAACACACCTTGAATTCTTCTAAAGACAGTACGTAGGCGTTTCTCCATGCATCAACTCATCAACTCTCTCATTCCCATGACAGTCTGTATCTACTCTGTCAATATTATGTGCAGGGGTTGCTTTTCTCCAGTTTGTCAGGCTTGCAGTTCCACAAAAGAGCAGGGGGGATGGTCTCCCACATATGACAATGTGACTCGCTGCATTGACAATGCAATTGCTTACATATCCAAATCGTGAGCCAGACAATGAGTGTAGTGAACGACTAATGAAAGAACGGTGCCTGAGTGTGCCAACAGCTGAGAAATAAACAAATACTGAACATCAGATGTAGATGTCATTACACTGAGAAATAGATTCAAAACAACAAAAAGTAGCAGAACCAACGCAATTATGTAAGGGAATAACAACACCTTAAATTCTCAAAGAATAAAGCAGAACACAATAGGAAAAAAAAAATCATAGTCCTAGTCAGGCATTATAATCAAATTGGCCTTAGCAAGATAGACACTGTAGAAGGTTGCAAACTGCAAATGAACTTCCTGGGTTCTGTGATGTAGGACTACTGTATGTGATGCAGGGCTGAAAAGTAGTAGCTGGTTCATCCAGAATACCAGTCAAAGTTTTTTCTCAGGTTTTTGTCCTAAACATTATAAGCACAGATAACATGACATACAAACCACACACATTATCCTGTTTAGTTGAGTGGCTGAATCAGGGATGTTTCAGTCACATTTCAAATGAAACTGAAAACGCAGAAGACCTTCAGTCACATCCCGCTGTTTAGTCTATTGCATCTCAAGCAGTCCACTTTGTTTTCAAGACAGCAGATTTAAAGGAATGGCTGGTCTTTTGGGGATTAGCCTTAGCATGTAACAGAGCGACCACAATGCTTCCGTTTTCTCTCGCACCTCCTGAGAAGCTGCCTCAGTCAGTTGCATCAGACGATGCCACAGTTGTGGCTTTGTGCATGAAACAAGCCGTAGACCAGCTGGTACTGAAGCATGAATGACAGTAATATTTACCAAATTCCAGCACTGTCTGACTGTCAGAAGCATGAGCATATTAGACACACATAAGATAAAAAACTTGAGAAATTCAGTGAAACTGAAATAGACTTCTTATTTGAATTTCCTGTTCCACCTTAAGTGGCACAGTATTTACATTTAGGCACCTGTAAGCTTGCCAGAATTGAACTGCTGCTCCATTTAAGGTGGAACATAATATTCTAACAAAAACTGCTGAATAAGATGCCAACTTCAGTCTTGGAGAAATTCAGACAAGAAACAACATTTAGCAGGGTTTTTGGCAGGTCCACAGGGCTAGTGTTAGAAAGCAATATTATTAGATTTATCTAAATAATTATTATAACACCTAAAGCACCAGCATGTTGCTGCTGCACCATTTAAGGTGGAACAAGAAAATTCAAATAAGAAGCTGGCAAATAGGAAACCGACTTCAGTCTTAAAACTGCAGGTAGTATATGTTGATAGTCTAAATTACCTTATCAGAAACATTCTCAGTACATTTGCAATAATATTAAGCTGAGTCCACACTGAATTAAAATTAGGTAGCTTGCATAGCATATATTGCTAACTGCTATGTAGCCTAAGGTTGAACTTGAACTGTTTTAATGGTGAGCTGTCCTGATAGCCAGGATTATAACTTATAGTTGTTTATATTTTCAACTGCAGGGAGATGACCACAGCCTTTTCACATCTTTTCATATTTTTTCATGTCATGCACCAAATTATGGAGAGTGGCATGATAACTATTGGTATGGATAAGCGGTACCGGTATTGATATCGGTATTGATTACACCCTATTGATACCCATCCCTATTGAAAATGGAAGGGACATCCCAGAATAATAAGCCACTATTACAGAAAAGGTTTTTTTAAGCTTCTAAAATGATTTTATTTGAAACAAATAGACATACACCATGTTATATACTGTAAATTTTTGACCACCCACTGCTACTGCAACGACAACTGCAACACTGTGATGGCAGCATGTCGACTGCAGTGTTGAGTATGTTAATGCCATAACTGCATATTTACCATGACATCGTAAAAAGCGTATTGTACACCAAAAAAAGGAACAGTTTTTGCACACTGTCCAAAGGCTATACTCCTGTGTTAATCAGCTTAGCCTTTACACCAGCCATGCACAAGTCGAGGTATGTTTGGTGTCCAAAATTTGCTTCTTTAGTTTAGAGCTTGAACTACGAGGCTAATGTTGCTAACAGCCAATATTAGTCAAAAATTGACTCAGTTTTTTTCATAAATAGATTCCCGAAGCTTCTCTCGATCACCTCAAACCGCATCCAGGTCTTCATTAAGGTTGCGCAGACTTATTGATGTGGTTTAGAACACAGTTGGACTCACTGTGAACTATAAAAATGAACAACCTCACTGTATACCTGAACATTAGAGGCAGCCTTTATAGACATCAGTATATTCGGTATTCACAAACTACTGCAGGTGTAGGAGTGCTGATCTAGAATCAGTTTTTAAAGTAGTACAATAGTACAGTCCTCTACTTTGCAACTGCTTGGTGAATACCAGCCCTGGTGCTGTCTGAAACATGTTCATAAAGTTCAGAATGAGTCATACTGTGCTCTAAGCCACATCAACGTGGCTGCATGACCTTAATAAAGACCTGGATGTGGTTTAAAATAGGCTAAGAGACA